TAGCAGCCAATATGGGCACTTGAAGATATATCGGCTATCGGCCTAAATCTTGCCGATATGAGCTGATAGTCCACGTGGGCATGTTATACCTCATTATAAAGCTTAGACTCTATATTATGTCAATTTAATCCAATTTACAGACAGATAAATGTGCTAATATGTGGCGCCGCATCAATATTTATCTGCAGAGATAAATAGATTGTCTGTGTCTGTGATGCCGTACTGCCCCTGAATGCACCTCCAGACTCATGTGACTTGCGTGGGTTTGTTTACACACACAGCTGCTGTCAACATGCTGGATTATATTATATTTACATACAATTGTTTTGAGTCAGGATTAAAATACTCTTATTTGTTAAGACTTGTGATCTGAGAGGAGCCTGTGTGAGCGGTGAGTGTGAAAAATGTCAGTTTTGAAGCGGCTTTTGGTTCTTTCTAATTGGTTAGTGCTTAGCTGCTGTAGCCCCCCCACATAAAGACTCTGTTTTCTCTTACACTGGCCTACTGTAACATTACTATAGTGGGTGTATAAATGTTACTGGACCTGCATTAATATAAAGCTGAGCTGTGAATAGAGGTGTGAATGATCCGCATTTACGCATATAATTAATTACCACGGCGCGCACGCATTTACTGCTAAATGCTGATAGCGGTAGTTTACTTACTTTCTTAACAGGCTAGAATGTCATGGAAAAATGCAATTAGGCTGACCTACTGTCTTTAAATACGACTGTAAAGAGGCAGAATAACAATAAATGTAGCCTAAACAAACCCAATTTAAAATCCAGTAGATCCACACCTAAGTTTTATAATAAACTGAAGATTTATAGTGAATTTTTACATCACTAAATCTATCTGCTTTTATATCGGCTACACTTCCAACTCCCACTTTATCGGTATTATATCAGCCGCAAAAAAATCCATATTGGTCGGGCTCTAGAAGAAATACCTGTTATATATACTTTTAAATCTTAATTCTTTAGATTATGGCTATGTCCAGACTGCAGGGCTTAACGCTCAATTCGGATTTTTTTGTGAAATCCGATGTTTTTGCGAGGTCGTTCACATTTCCAATTAAATGCAACTTGTATGTGAACTCCAGTGTGAACAGTAAACGGCCCAGAAGTGTCCCGCATGTGCACTGGAGGACACAACCGCAGCGAGCGTGCTCTGTGTTTACAGAAGTTGTCCAAACATGGAAGCGAGCATTGAGCACCTGGAGATTTTAAAGTTCCTCTCGTACCGGAGCCAGAACATGAACAACTTACTTGTTTTAAGGAGGAGCTTGAGAAGGACGAGGTTTTTGGCCGTGGCGTTTTGTGGAGCAGTGGCAGCGACAACACGTTTAAAGGAACCTGTGGGTGCGCAGACGTAGCCAAGAGTGGTGAGTGGTGATGTGCTTCGCTTCAGTGACACGGAGTTCATTAACAATTTTCGCCTACTTCAGCGCAGAATAGTGACGTTTGAGGCTTGTTGATGACGTGTAGGTCGGATGAATGCGCTTTGGCCGTTCACACTGAAGTCGCATGTCAAAAGATCGGATATGTTTCGGTTTTAGGACCACATATCGAAGTGGCCTGGGTCACATTTGAAAAAATCGGATCTGTGTCGTTCAGACTGTCATTAAAAGATCAGATACAGGTCACATAGGGGCCAAAAAATCGGATTTGGGTCACTTCAGGCTGCAGTCTGAACGTAGCCTATGACAGAACCAAAGTCTTGTCAAGGCATTTTAAAAGGAAAAAGTAGCATATTCACAGTTGTTAACCTCCACAAAATATTGCAATAAATATCGTACCGTGAGATGCATATAGTGAAAGTATCGTATCAAGAGATTTGGATATCATTTCATCCCCATTCTAAATACATATTGGGCTCTGAGAAAACAACATTATGCCATGGTTAAAAGTTAAAAGCTCCAAAAATATTGTAGCATGATATATGATCTTCAGTGACCCATTTAAACAATTCAAGTGGAATATTACAGTACAGTGGGTATATTTTTACAACGTAACAGTGTTATATTTAACATGACTGAAAACTCACAAAGGTCAACTCTGCATAATGCCTTATTAAAATGTTAATGCTCCCATATTTACATCTCACTTATTTGAAATATTCCAAGCTATTAACCTCCGAGCTCAGTTCTTCAGATTTTCCTGTGTTGAAAAATGCATGGGTTTGCAGAGGGATGGATCAATCTTTTAAACGTTGGTAAGAGAGTGTTTTGGAAGTACGGGGTTTAATGTGGCAACAAGGATAAATATTGAACCTGAGAACAGACTCGGGGCCCTGTGAAGCGTGCAGGCTCTGGCGTGGTAAACCAGGCTCCTCAGACATCTGGGGCTCTACAGCTTTGAGGAGGGAACACCGCTCGAGCAGTGTGTAACATGTGGCACGCTGATTTTTAAACACGTTTGCATAACTCTCTTTGCATTTCCATTTTTAAGTAGGACACATCATGTTTTCTAAAGTAGCACCGTGAAACTGTTTTGCTTGTCCGTGGAGATCGTTGCTTTGCCTTGAATGTTCTGCAGTATGGCATTAAACTTGTCTGTCTCCATGGAAACAAGCAGCTGCGAAGGCTTTGATGAAGTCATAGTGGCATGCTGACTTTTGTTTGCGAGTTTACAAAAACCTCCAAATATCTTATGTGATTTTTAAAATGGCACTTCATGCTTTAAAGTGCCTCGTCTCCATGGCAATATAACTCTTGCATTTCCATTTTTAAGTAGGACGCAGCATGTTTTTTAAAGCAACACCTGAAACTGTTTTGCTTGTCCATGAAGATGTTATTGCTTTGCCTGGAATGTTCCATGGTATGACATTAAATAAATTAGCCAGCATTTATTCATTACAGGTGTTTCTGTTGCTCAAAAATACAATAATTCCTTCTGCGAACAGGGACGACTCTCCACGGATCTGACTTGTAATGCAGAGTAGTGCTGTAAACTGCTTGTCTTCATAGGTTTAATTTATAATGAGGAACATTCTAAAACAAAGCAATGGCATTTCCATGGACACAAGCAGATAGCAGATCCTCCATTAGAAATATTACGCAGTACTCCTTTAAGTGTACAAAAACCTCCAAACATCTATCTTGCCACCTTGTCTCCATGGCAATGTTTGCTTTGCGTAGAATGTTCCACAGCATGGCATTAAACTTGTTATCTAGACAAGCAGATGAGGTTAGGCCAGGCGAAGGATTACATTTTGTAGAGATCACGGCAAGAAATAAAATTGAAAGAAAACCACATATTTATATTTATTGCAATGCTGTGAAACATTTCAGGCTAATCCATAACTTTTTGTTTATTGAAAAAAAAACAGATGGCAGACCCAGTTTGGCATTAAAATTATCTATCTCCATGGAGACAAGCAAGTCACCAGGTCAGTAGGGGTGTAACGGTTCACAAACATCATAGTTTGGTACATACCTCGGTTTTGAGGTCACGGTTTGGTTCATTTTCAGTACAGTATGGGAACAAAATGGAAAATCATTTGCTTGTTGTTTATTTGTGTTTTTATTAAACCAACAATTTGTTTTAACATTATACAAATGGGAAAATAAAATAAACACATGGGAGGAGATTCCATACTGGTGAAAGGCAAAAGGAGGAGGTTTGGAGCACGATGACAGTAGTTTTGTGAGGATTCACATGGTTTGGAGGGACGTAGTCAAGGCGAGGGGCAATTATTTTCAAGATAGCCACCCTAACTATAAAGCGCTGCGGGAAACACTGCCACCCCAATCATAAATGAGTTCCCTCGTGAATATTAAAGAGCCGAGCCTTCCGTGTAGCTGCACATGTAGTAGTGGCGAATGTAAACACACACAGATTGCATGAACCCTGCACCGAACCCAGTGAAACAGTTTGGCTTGAAAACATGTACCGTTACACCCCTACGAGCAAATGAGGCTAGGCCAGGCTACGCGATTAATTAAGTCTGTAGAGATGCGAGCCCATTCACAGCAAGAAATAAAAATGAAAGAAAACCACATGTACTACAAGGCACATGTTCATATTTAATGCAATACCGTGAAACATTTCAGGTTAATCAATAACTTGTTTAATGAGACAAACAGGTGGCAGTCCCAGTATGGCTTTAAAATGATCTATCTCCATGGAGACTACTAGTTAGTGGAGTGGAGTTACTAGTCAGGTCTGTAGCCAAGCCCACTAACAGTAATAATCCATGTTTTTCAAGTTATTCTTTTAGCAATAAAAACGCGACGCTACACTCCAGACAAAGCAATAACATCTCCATGGTGACCACTATTTGCCAGACCCCCCACCAGAAATGTGACATTGTGCACTATTAAAGTTGTTAGTCTGCTGTTGCATATAATGGACCAGGCCTGTGTTTTGCATCAGTGGACAAACAAAACAAAAAAAATGCTCCCACAATCATTTACAAATGTTTATGACTTCAAAACACCGAACACAGGCCTAAACATTTGCGCTATTAGCTGCATTACTATCAATAACACCGACCACACTCGTATATTTAGTTACTGCTTGGCCAGACCACTCATCTCTGTCTTATAGTTTGAGTGACTTCCAGCCGCCCCGGTGCAGAACTGTGGTTCACACATTGGTTTCTTTGGCAGCCCCATTTTAATTAAGGTTGAATAGTGACAGCTATAGACTCCTTGTGTTGAACTATTGAGCTGTGGCGTGTGGTTTTAGTGTTTCTTTAGCCGAGGTATGTAGGTGGAACAAGGTGTTGACTTATTAGGTGAACTTAGACATGGAGGAGAAGAAAATGAGCAGGTCTCTGGTACGTGCCGTGGTTTGGGCTCAAGCCTGTGAGACATATGCAAAAACCTTTAGTTGTTTTTCTTTAAGTTGCTTTTTTTACTTTTCAGGAATAATGGTCTCTTTTAAAAATTTGCTGCTGTCAGATCCTTGCTATAACCCAGCTTTTCCTCTGCCTGTCGTTCCAGGTTTTAAAATAAAGGAGCTGATATGAAGAGAGCTGCCAGGGCTTGTGGGATGATGGCTCCTTTGCACCGAAGTTTGTGGCGAAGAAGTTGGGTGCTGCTGGTTTACGTGGTCGCCTTGCCGGTCGTCATGGGAACCCTCGAGCTCCAGCTGGACGAGGAACAACCCGCGGGGACGATCGTGGGAGACATTAGCGCGGGACTGCCACCGGGGGTCACCGCGTCTTTGTACTTCATCTCGGATCACGAAGGGACTGGCGTCGGCACCGATCTGGACATCGACGAAAGTACTGGGATTATCAAAACGGCGAAAGTTCTCGATCGCGAAATTCGAGATCGGTACAATTTCATCGCGGTTACCATGACGGGAGTGACGGTGGAAGTTACGATTAAGGTGAATGATATAAATGACCACGCACCAACGTTCCAGAAAAAACGCGCGTCTTTCACCATCCCGGAGCAAACGGCAATCGGGACGAGATTTCCGATTGATCCTGCTATAGATGCGGATAGGGGCCAGCTAACTACGCAAGGTTACCTAATCAAAGATGGCAACATTGCGCAAGCTTTCACCTTAGAAACCAGAAGAGGAAGCAACGAGGTCCTCTATCTAGATTTGGTCGTTAATGCGATTCTGGATCGAGAGAAACGTTCCACTTATACGTTATCTTTGGAAGCGTTCGATGGTGGTTTCCCGAAAAGAACTGATCAGATGATTTTGGATATTACCATCCAAGATATCAACGACAACGCTCCTGTTTTCAACCAGAGCCGCTACCATGCCATAATATCGGAGAACCTACAACCAGGAAGCAACATCTTACAGGTTTTTGCAACTGACGCCGACGAAGGAAGCAACGGCGTGGTTTTGTATGAAATCAACAGGCGCCAAAGCGACCCTGATCGCTATTTCGTCGTCAACCCACAATCCGGAATTATAACTCTTAACAAAGCGTTGGATTTTGAAATGAGAAGAGTTCACGAGCTGGTTGTCCAAGCTCAAGACAACGCAACTCAACCAGAGGTAACCAACGCTTTCGTCACCATACACGTCCGCGATTACAACGACAATCAACCCACTATGACCATTATCTTCTTAAGTGAGGACGGGTCTCCAAGGATATCGGAAGGCGCTCAACCGGGCCAGTACGTCGCCAGAATTTCCGTAACCGACCCAGATTACGGGGAGTACGCCAACGTCAATGTCTCCCTTGAAGGCGGAGATGGCAAATTCGCGTTGACGACGAAGGATAGCATTATTTATCTGATGTGCGTCGACCAGATTTTAGATCGAGAAGAACGAGATACGTATGAACTTAGGGTCACGGCGACGGATGCAGGGACTCCACCGCTAAGAGCCGAATCTTCTTTTACCATCCAGGTTGTAGACGTCAACGATAATCCTCCGTTGTTCGACCAGCCAGTTTATCGCCAAACCATACCTGAAGTTGTTTTTCCTGGAAGCTTTGTCTTACAAGTTACGGCAAGGGACAAAGACCAAGGACCAAACGGAGACATCAGTTACAGTATCTTACAAGACTCGGACGGCTACGCCAGCTGGTTCAGCATTGACTCCGTTACTGGAATTATCACGACGCTTTCTCAGTTGGATTACGAAAAGAACCCGAACCCGAGTATAACTGTCATGGCGACGGACGGAGGTAAACCGCCGTTGTCTTCCACTGCGATCGTCAACGTCGTCCTACAGGATATTAACGACAACGAACCGGCTTTTGACAAGAACTTCTACAACGTGTCCGTCAAGGAGGATGCAGCTCCAGGCACGTGCATTCTAGAGGTAGGATCGAGTTTATTTTATGTAAGAAATGCTGGTTGTGGAGGGTGGAGGTTGCGCGCGGTGCAGCCTTGGTCTTTATTATTGATTTTCTGTCGATAGAATAGAGGTATGCTTGCAATGTTCGGTAGACAACTTGAGTCTTAATGTATGTTGGAATCTTATTTAAAGGTGCATTTTCTTGTGTAACTTTTCTGGTGGAGGGTCCATCAAATGCTTTTCTTCGTCTGGAATGTTTCAGAGTCTGGAATTAAACCTTTCTATCTTCATTGAGACTAAACCAGACGAGTTTACAGGTCAGAACTGTGGAAAGGCAACCCCGCTCACAGTCAGAATGTCTAAGGTAGATCAGTTTAATGTCATACTGTGGAACATTCCAAGCAGATATGACATATCCACAGAAACAAGAAGGCAACAGACCCCCAACTGAAAAGTTACACAATGCACCTTTAACACATTTTTTTTTTGGGATGAACAGAATTTGAATTTGAATAATTTTGTTAGATGACATTTTTGATGATTTTTGATTTTTATTTTATTTTTTCACAATTACCAAGTGACTAGACTCCATTCAGTTGAACTTTTTGAATACAGGTTTTGACATGTGCAGTCTGCCCTTTATAACAGTGGTCTCCAACCTTTTTCCCCAGGTGAGCTCCCTTTACAAAACAAAATAGCCTCAGAGCAACTAATGTTGGCAGTCGCAAGAAACTGAGAAATTAGAAGAGCCATGGCGAACCTTTAATGGGGTACAGTTGAATACCTAAAAACATTAACATTTATCCATTTATTAGCGCACAAATTAGGAATCAAAATTTGAATCGGAACCAGATTTTAGTTATTAATAATTTTGCAATTCCTTGGCGAGCTACAGGTTGGAGATCCCTGCTTTATAACTACTCAATCTTATATACATGGCAATACATTCCTCATTATCTGGCTTTTTAAAAATTTGAAAGTAAAATTTTGCTACTATAACTTTGTCAGCTCCTATACATTTTCCTGGTACAACTTTCTTTTTATAAGGTAAAACTTTGAAACTCTTTCTATTTGACCTGTCTGTTTATCTCCGTGCTTATATTGTATAACCAACAAGAAACTGGATGAATAAGGACCTTACATTAACCTTGCCACTATCTATTTTCCGGCGCCACGTACAACATTGCTCCCACAAAGCTCGCGCCAGTGCTTTCAAACATTTCGAAAACGCACTTTTGGCAAACACATTAACTTGACATTGACACCGAATTTTATGCCCCAGCTTGGACTTATCTCGGGGTGACGGAGATGACCCGTTCAAATGGAAAGCTATTAGATAAAGTGTGGAAGAAAAAGAAAATGGCTACTGCGATTCTTTTCATTCCTGGCGAAGAGTTATTTTTAAGGCTAAAGCTGTTTAAATTGCAGTGCCTTATTGAGGATTTACCTGCGGTTTGGGGCCAAGACGATTGCCTCTTTGGCTGTCCTCCCCTTCACCTCTCCAAAGGTTTCCAGGGTAACACAGCTCCCTGACAGGCCCGGTACAAAAGGCTTTTTCGCACATTCACCGGCGCGGACAAATTCAGGGCTTTATCCATGGAAATAGATGTCACTTGAGTCTGAAAAGGCAGCGTAAATGAGGCTAGTTGAGCGTGAGAAAAAATGGCCCCTGACAACAACATGAATACGAGTGGAGACAAATTACAGCAAGCTCCAGAGACGGCAAGCTGCTTCCATTAGAACACATTGTTTTTTTAAGGAACTCTTGATAGAACAATGTGTATTATCAAAAGTTGGCATTGCGAAACAGTGTAGAACTAAACTACTTGTGGAAAGTGAGCATTTTTGCTAAATCCTCCCAGATGAGGTTAATGTTTTATGTGCATTGTCCAAAATTCAAATATGCACGAAATTGCAGAGGTGGATATAGTACTCAGTTACAATTACTAAAGTACACTTTCTTTTGTAACTTTTGAATGAAATTGTACTTCTCTATGTAGTTTTCAGACATTACACTTGCTCCTACTGGAAAAGTTTATTCCAGGACCTGTTTACGCGCGTAAAAAACAACAAAATATTTGATCTGAAGTGCCTTTTGTTTAGACGGTGATGGCGTTTTGAGGCTTAAAAACACAAAAATCTGAAACCACCCTCCAGAGTGGAAAAGCTGAATACATTCCGCCGTAGCATTTCCGTCTACACTGCCCAAGACGCAAAACTCTGGTCAAATCGTACACGTTTACTTGGCAACTTGGCATGCATCTCCAATCAAATTCCACACACTTTTGCGTCACTGTATGCATGCAGATTTCCTCCCGAAAACGCTTGTCTAAATGCTGAATAAAAAGTGAAGATGCGATGCCACTTTTGCGTCTTCTGTTCAGACCGTCATCATATAAATGTAGTCTCAGTGTACAGTACTCTTACTTGAGTATTATATTTGTTCCTGTAACTCTTACTTAAATGTTTTTGCCACTCTTCCCACTGTGAGTAGGTCGACAAGTGACAGAAACTTTACATTGACAATATAAAATTATTATAACATTTGTTCCTCTTGCACCAATTTCTATAATAATCTCTCTTTGATAACACCAGATTTTGTGCACAATACTTTTTACTCTTACTTGAGTCATTGGATCACGACTTTGTACTTCTACTTGAGTCATTTTTTGAAGTAACGCTACTCTTATTTTGAGTACAATGTTTGGTTATTCTATCCATGTTTGCCGAAGAGAACTTTCTTTAATTGAAATCACTAATGCATAAAATTAAAAAGCTCAAATTGCTAATATTCCCAAAGGGTTAGAGTCTATTCCGTGATTAATACTCGTGCCATAATGTAACATTTGGAACATTATTCTTGGAGTTGGACCAGTCAGGCCAGTGCAATCTGTTGTTGCCCGGTGTTTACAGTAGAGATGGGACGAGATACAATTTCCACGGGACGAGACGAGATATGAGATTGCATCTACGAGAGCGAGACAAGATGAGATTTTCACATTATTTAGGCTGTAATAAATCCATTGTGCTATTCACTACACATTCTCAAAAAAATTTAACTCGTCTGTACTCTATTTTTTCAATCCAAACTAGGGATGGACATTCAATAAAATTTTCTTCATCGATCAGGAGAATTAATGATTGATTTTCAATTAATCATTAATGTTTTATATTAAAATTATCAAATCAAATCAAACTTTATTTATAAAGCACTTTTCATACAAAATGCAACACAAAGTGCTTTACAGTGATTAAAAACAGTCCCGCATTTCCAACCACCCACCCACCAACCCAACCCCCGCACCCCCAACCCCACATAGTCAAACAACCCAAACACACACACTCACATACACACAAACATGCACACACACACACACACACACACACACACACACACACACACTCACACGCTAAAATACATAACCGGACACAATAAAATGTGAGGCTGAATACAGGCGAACCAGTTGAGAAAGCACCATCAGAGGAGCCGTCTGCACCGGGAGCAGAGAGACGTCCACCACCACCAGGAACCACCACAGGGTCCAGGGGAGAGATGAGGCCCAGGCACCTGAGGCCCAAGCACCATCCCTCCACCAGGAGCCCACATGACAGACCCAGCAGCCACAGCTGACCTCCACTCCCGATGCAGAGGCTCCTACAGAGGAGACACTGGAAATCCTAAAAAATATGCCTAAAATAAATAAATATAATAAAATGTGTACAATAAAAACAAGTAAAAGTATAAGATTTCAATCAAAAGCTAAGCTAAAAAGGTGGGTCTTGAGCCTGCTCTTAAAAACATGAACGTTCTCTGCAGCCCTGAGCTCCTCCGGCAGGCAGTTCCATAGACGAGGGCCATAGTGCTGAAAAGACGCCTCTCCGTTATCATCATTATTATTACTATTATTAAACTGCATACATAAACTCAACTTTACAACATATAAACCATATAGAGCCACATCAGCCCGCATCAGCCCATTTGACATTATAATGTGTGTTAGAGAGACAAAACTTAAAACCGCATGGCTAAGTTGCAGTAACTATTAGGGCTGCCCACAGTCATTTCACTCACTTTATTTATGTTGGTCACTTTATTTAGGCTATTGTTGTGATGAAAATACTGAAAAGTGTTTGTCTTTTGGATGCTTTGCGCACTCAACTTTATGTCACAATAACCGGGATACTGCGTTTGCATACACCATGACGAAACTGGAACACTCAAAAAAAAAAAAAAAAACCTCATTGAGTGGTACAGTGATCTCCAAGGAGGTGCCAAAGCCGAAAAGTGGGACTGTTGTGCACGGTGCAGCCTTGGCTTTTATTGTCGGTTTTCTGTTCTCGAAAAGTACATTCATTATTGAAATAGAGGTATGTTTGCTATGTTTGCTAGACAACTTGATTTCGTATGTTGTTGGCATCTTATTTAAAGGTGCATTTTCTTGTGTAACTTTTCTGGTGGAGGGTCCGTCAAAGGCTTTTCTTCATTGAGGTGTTATTACTTTGTCTGTTTTAAAGCTTTCTATCTTCACTGACACCAAACCAGACGACTTTACAGATCAGAACTGTGGAAAGGCAACCCCACTCACAGTCAGAATGCCTGTTTCTCTAAATATTTTTGAGCAATAAACCATCCGTATCTGAATAAATATAAGGTCGATCTGTTTAATGTCATATTGTGGAACATTGAAGTGCCAGAGTCAAAACGTGGGACTGTGAGGCTGCAGCTCCAGTGTTTGCGCTGTTAGACTCTGCCTCATCTCCTTTACGCTACGCTACACACAGCAACCTAACATTCGGTGTGTCGATTAAAAATGAACGTGGTCGACGAAATTCGTAATGATCAATTATGGATTAGTCGACTAATCATGCCCATCCCTAATCCAAACATAAAAACATGAGGAAAAAAATCTCACAAGATCATTTTTAATAAGTGTGAATAATCTTGTATCAATATTGTCTCGCAAGATTTTGTGGCACAAGATCTTATCCCATCCCTCGTGTACAGTATACAGTCTGTGTGAGTG